GCAGCAGCAGCAGCAGCAGCAGCAGCAGCAGCAGCAGCAGCAGCAGCTTCCCTGCAGCTGATAGTTAATCAGCTTGCATCAGAATCCTGTGTTCGTGTACTCATTTCGCCTTCCAGACATCCCAGATTCAAGACCCATTTCTCTGCCTAGGCTTGTCCCCAGCAAAAAGTGACACAAATGTTGGTGTGACTCTGAAGAACAGAGAATACTCATTCATAACTGGTAGGATCATAAACTCATGCAGCTTCTGAGAAAATCTGTGTGGTGGTCCTTTAAAGAGTTAGAAATAGATCAAGCAGTTGATCAAGTTATGCCATTTTTCAGGATATACCCAAAAGACTCTATGTCCCATTATAGAAACACTTCCTTATTCATATTTATTGTTACTCTATTTAAAATATCTAGTAAATGAAACAGCCTAGATACTCAGGAATCAGTGAATGGATAATAAAAATCTGGTACATTTACATAATGAATATTTTTAATCTATGAAGAAAAACACTATGTATTATGAAATTTATATGTAAAGAGATGGAGATGGAAATAGTCATTGTAAGTGAGGTAACCCCAGCTCAGAAATACAAATACATATTTTCTTTTATTTGTGTATGTAAGCCTTGAATATTTAGATATGTGTACTTCATTTGGAGTACCCACAGAGGTTAGGAAACTAGTAAGAGACTATAGGGCAGGACTCAAGGGAAGAAAGGTAGAACACAGTGATATAAAGTGGTAAGTGATATAAAATGGAGCAGGAAAAGTGGGATGGGGTTTGAAAGCAGAGTACAAAAAAGAAAACACAGAGGGATAAACAACAGTAAGAACCTTCTGAAAAAGTCATATAAAACTTGTGTGCAGAAATTTCCCAAACTATAAACCTATACATGGATAAAATTAATCAAAATGTAATTATTCTATAATAGGGAATGTTACAACTAGACATTACAGGACCACAGGCAAAAAGTCCAATGCCAGTCAAAAGTCACCTCTATTGGAGTTGTTGGCCAGTGGGGTCTCATAGATTCCCCAAATCATGTTTACTATTCCCATTGCTCTTAGTTACTCTCCAGAACTGATGGCAAGTCCCTATTGCTGAAGACAACACATACCCGAGTCATAGAACATGGAGAAATCAAGCTGTTACTGTATTAAAGCTTCATTGCTTATGGCTAGCTTTCATGGTGCTGGGATGTGCTAATCATGTCATCAGAGGAGAAAAGTGCTCATCATTATCTAGCTCTAAACACTGTGAGCTACAATGACGGGCCTGGCAAGATATTGGTACAACAGTGGCATGAACATCCGGGTAATTAATCACCTTTTGGTTGGATTTGAGAACCTCTCAACAAATTGGAACCCATACCTAGTACAGTTATAGGTGCCAATAACCTGTTCTTGGATAGGTCATAGGTCTAGTGTTAAACCAACTGCCTATGGTATTCTTTAATCAATACATGATTAAATTCTACATACTAAACAAAGTCCACATTGCAATACTGTTTTTAGAACATTTATTTTCAAAGGCAAATATTCTAAAATGGTATCATGAGACCCAATACTGGCTTAATGGATCTTATTTTATCTACAAAATGGGCCAGGTGTGGAGGAACCTGCCCTTAGTCCCAGGACTTGGGAGTCAGAAGCAAACAGATCTCTGGAAGTCAGAGGACAGTTTTGTCTCATCTCATGTTCCAAGACAGCCAATGCCACAGAGTAAGACCTTGTTTTAAAATAGCAGACCATGACTTTAAAAAACATAATATTTTCTTTTTAAAAAACTCAACAAATAAGATATAAGCATTCCTGAAAGTATTGGAGACCCTAAGTGCTATAGCAAAAGTCAGCTGGTGGTCAGGTGAGTCTGCCTCTTCTAAATCTGCTTTGGTTCCATTTGCTTGCCTTATTTGTTACAGATTGCATAAAGATATTGAATTTGACATTCCCCCCTAATTTTCTTTGATTATCATGTTTGAGTATGTAGGCAACCAAAGCCAAAATTGAAGGTCAGCTTTTTGCAATGTCCGCACTTTCAGATGCCAGTTCTGCCTGTGTCTGGTTCATGCAACCTATAGCTTCCATTTCCTTAACCCCTCACCTGTATCTTGAAAAGGTTGAGTATGTGTTCTATTACCATACAAAACCTCACAGAATCTATCTATCATCTCTCTCAGTGTGTCTGTTTGTCTGTCTGACTGTCTGTCTATCTGTCTGTCTATCTATCTATCTATCAATCTATCTATCTATCTATCTATCATCTATCTATCATCTATC